TCCTTCTACGAGGGCTGCTCCATGGGAACCATCTCCACCTCCTCCATCTTTGTCAGCGTGGAAAACAAGACCGAAGAGAGGTACTGTGTTTACTTTGCTTTCATGAAGACACTCTGTGTTGATTTATGGATGGAGTGTGTCGTTTATCAACCTTAAAACAATGATGCAGGTTACCTTAAAGGCCAGGAGCAAGGCAAGTACATCTGCCACGCCTTACACACACACACACCCATTCACACACTCCTACGTCATTGCCACCTTTGCTCTTACAGTACATCACATGTGCGTCATGGAGTAGGTGACTCAGCTGGCCTGGTCACATACATACACACACACACACACACACACACACACACACACACACACACACACACACACACACACACACACACACACACACACACACACACACACACACACGTGATGTGATGGTGGGTACTGTTACATTTACAAGACAGAAAAAAGGGAATATTCATAAAGCACAACATTCCTTTTTCCAATGAACGGCCTGAAAGCCTTCACTGGCTTATTTATCAGCCAGAAGTTCTCACATCAATTTCTATTATTATTCATTCAATGTATCATACTATATTACAATATAATAAAAGATTAGATTGTAATACAACTACACCACATTTATTTTGTTACACTCTATCATCAGGGTGGCTAGGATTAATTTGCCTTTTGCCGTTTAAAACGTTGTCCTCCACCCTTTATGTGTTTCCCGTCTTTCCCCTGTCCTTTTGTCCTTCTGTCCAGCGGTGTCAGGTTCAGCTCGCTCTCTGAGGCTTCATCAGTCACCTGCTACTGCGCTGACATTGTTCTGTCAACTGTTTTCATAAATATGTAAACAGGGGCTTTGACGTGGCCTTACTTTGTGCCATTATGCTGCAGAAACAATGGGACAAAAGAGGACAATGTTGTGGCGTGGCAACTGTATATATACCCACCAACAATCAGCCCTGTCTTACAGTCGGTGTCCCAGTTACAGAGCTAACACCTCGGGGGGGGTGTGATGTGTCAGGGTGGGATTGAGCTCCTCTCCACCTGGCTTTCATTTTGAATTTCTCACAAGTCATAAAAGTGTAAAAATCACATTCTTTATCAGGGAGTCACCTGATGGAAATACCTGGGAAACCGCTCTCAAGTGGCAGAAATGTAGAGAAACAACAATGCTCTCTCCTAAAGGTCAAGCTACACCTAGTCACATGACTCATATGTTGATGCAGGCTCTCATTGTTGAAGTCCTTGTATTTGTTGGTGGTAAGTTTTAAGTGAAGAGGTTTTGTGTCTTTTACATATCTTTGCCTCTGTAGGTTTTACTCTCCGATACATTTGTGAATTATTTTGTAAAGCCATTTTCTATTTCCAAATGTATTTTTCATGTTCTATTTTTTGTTTATATTGAGTGAGTGGTGGGAAAAGTATTCAGATTATTTGAGATAAAAGTACTAATACCACTCTGTAAATATAGTTAGTTAAAAGCAGTGCATTTTACGAAAAAAAAAGTTTAAAAAAATTATTAAAGTAGGATTAAAAAAATTCACAAAAAATTGGTGCCAATTAATTATCTGTTAACACACTCAGGGCTTTAGTTACTTAAATATGTCGGATCGTTTAATCATTACCAAATAATCATATCTTTTAAGTTTTTCCTAAGTATTCAAGTATTAAAATCAGAATTTCAAATCAAAGTAAAGGTTATGCAATTTTCTACAACAATTACATTCTTAGGTTTGTACCATCACAGCAAGGCTTGCATTATGTCACTGTGTTCACATCTGGCCAATCTTAAGGAGATTTTCTTCATTTCCTGTGAGGCATTTGTGAGACTGTAAGCCTCTCGCTGAGGCCGGCAGCAGACAGGTTTCCCATCATGCTCGCAGTCGGTACATCTCTTTGTCTCTTTGATGTCAGACTCTCTGCAATAGTATGTGATTTGTTTGGGGAGGCTGTGTTTTCTCATCACTTTCTAAGCGCTGTTTGGACAGCTGCCTCTGACCCAGACTATAAACACCAAGTGGTGTCTCCTACGTAGGTTAATATGAAGAATTATTGTTCCCTTTCAGAGATGACGCTGCCTCCAGCTCCACGTTCACCCTGGAGGACAGCGCTATCTGCCTCACTTCGGAGCAGAGCACCATGGATGTGGACCTAGACCGCGATGACGGCTCGGTTCTGGATGTGTACTTGGTGAGTGTTCCTCCATTCAGGTCCCTGTGGGGTCAATTAGGTTTTGTCTTTATAAAAAGGTGTTGGTTCTAGATCAGGGGGCCAAATGCGACCCTCAGCAGATTGTAAAAGTATGGAATATGGCCCACAAATGAAACTTGTGCTTGTCTTGGATTGTACTTGTTTTATTTATATATGTAAACATATATTACTCAGTAGTGTATTCATGTGTTAATAAGTGCACTTTTCAAATAAATTAAGTCAATTCAAGTTTAAAACTATTTCTAACAAATCTAAGTTGATAAGAAAAAAGCCCATTAACCTATTTGTATAACAAGCTTGAAATAGACCCTTCATATTTCCTCTTATAAGCAATCAGACGTTTCTGTTTTACGGGATGAGCTGTTAACAAAATAAATGAAACCCTATGGAGATCTTTCTTAAAGCATATTCAAGTATCAAGCCTAATTGACCTACATTTGATTGATTTTGCTAACTTATAACTTAATTTATGAGGCAATATACCTCTAGTGAGTGGCCCAGCCCTTCGTATATTTTTCTGTATGTGGCCCTCAGTGAAAAAAGTTTGAAGACCCCTAGATGTTCAGCTTGTTCACCTTCAGGCCTTTGCCACATTGATGATCTCCCTTTTCTCTCTTGTCCCTGACAGTGAAAAGAGCAGCGTTAAAACCTCCATTTCCTCCTGCCAATCATCAGACAATCACCGCACTCCATTTAACCAACCAGGCTGGCCTTTGACTTCCTGTGCTGCTAGATCCATGTTGCCACTCGTATTGCCAACACATAAAGAAAGACAGAGATCCTCCACCGGTTGATGGACTAAAAGAAGACACGACGACGGACATGCGACGGACGTCTGCAGGAACAATGTGACTAATGTAATGTGATGAACGCCAGGCTGTGTCGCTTTTTAGAGCATGCATCAACGCAGTGCCATTAAGTTTTATATATGTATTCTGTTTCCATGGCCTACACAAAGATCCAGATATTTACCATATCTTAATACATATGAGGAGAGGGTAGATACATTTCATTGACCGTGTTTCTCTGCTGACCAGACCTTTTTAAAGTTTGCAATGTTGCTGATGAGAAGAGAAATGTTTACAGTGAATGTATGACGTCGTCTTTGTCCCTGATGAACGAGGACGTGACACAAGCCAGCAAGGAGGAGAAAAGACTCTCATGAACAAACATGATGGATTCTGAAGCTCCGGAGGCCAAACACAGACTGTGACGTGGTTCAAGCAGCAAACCCTTTTTCCCTTACTGGGCTGTTGTTCGCGATGCCTTGACGATAAACTGAAGAGAGGAAGGACAGTTACAGGACCTTTGATGAAGCACAGAGCCGAGGGACGGTGCACTCGCTCTCGATCAAAAAGGCACTTTGGACATCGGTTATGATTACTGTAAGAAATATTTTTCTCTGAAGAACTTGCTTTAGTGGGTGGGCTACCTGACATAAGCACACATTTTGGATATGTGAATATGCACTTTTATTTCCTCTTTTACAAATGCACACCTCTGTAAGTCCTTGATGCTACATGTACAGAGACAGTGAAGGAACAACGTGGATCATTTTTGATGTGGAGCTAATAGTTTTGTGAGGTGACTGACGATGCTTTAACTCAGGATATCCTTTGATACTGAAAAAGTGGGTCCTCTTCAAGAAGTTATGGAACATGCAGCCTACAATTAGAAGCTGTCCGATGCCATCATCATGACCCTATCCGACTATAAATGTTAAATTCCACGATCACACGTCGGTTGAGAACATAATTTATTATGTAAATCTCAATATTTTACCATTTGCTGAAAAATACTATAAATCGCTGAATGTAAAGACAATGCATATTTATATTTAGAGACTCGTATAAATAAATGGCTAAAATGTCAGGGTCTTCTGTTGAGCTTATGATGCTTCTGAAAAAGTCTTTGTTTTGGGATTTTAAAGGGGCCTCATTATGCAGAATTTCAGATTGAATTTATATGTTGTGCCTCTACTGGGACATGTCTCCATGCTTTAACGTTCAAAAAGATCTTTATTTTTCACCTCTTTTGACCCTCTGTCTGAGCACAGTCTGCTCTGATTGGTTAGCTGGCCGGCACTGTTGTGATTGGTCAACCGCTAAGAGAGGTCCCACCCCCTTGCCTATGACTATCGCATGCAATGTGTTGGGAGTGCTAGCCAATATAACCACGAGTGTTACATAGTAAAGTCACAATGTTACGGAAGTAAACAAAGAATTACAATCGAGGCATTTCAGTGTGTGGGAGAGAAAATCCCTCTGGAAGGAATTTGGGGATTTTAGCCTTTGCAGACCATTTACATGCACACAAACCTATAACATACTACAGGAGAGGGATAAACACAAAAAGCACAATAGGCCCACTTTAAGAAATGACCCTCACTTTCACAGCAGTACTACTAAACTTAAACAGTGCTATTGCTTCTGTTGTGTAACAATTTTAATTTACAGAACATTGTCAAATTGCATTACATTTAGTGCAAATAATAACACTTCTGATGTACAACTTAGAAATATACAAAGTGTGTAGATTACAGACAAAATATCAAAATTAAAAACGCTAAACGCATTCTTCAGCTGACATTGCTCGTGGATCTAGCTCTTGTAATCATCAGCAAAACAATAATCCAGATCCTTCCTTAATTCTGACCCCTTAGACCGAAAATCTGATTTCTTTGTGATTGCAAAACTCCCAACTTTCGATTTCATCAAATACAATCTAAAGTAAATTTAAATCTTGAGGTAAGATGATGTGAAATGCTGACCCTCCCCCCACCCCACCCACCCCGCTTCATTTCAGTGTTGATAAATGCACATCTGGTGGCTGTACAGTAAATATAACCTGGATTTCCATCTTGGTGTCCAAGGCATTCTGGGGGTAGTTTATCAGTCAAAGGGCAAGAGGCCACTGCACTGTAGTGTAGTGTGGCGTGTGAAATGTAATGTGAGAGTATCACTAAGAGTCTGGGGTGTAGATGATAGGTTACTCAACATATTACAAAGTTACCTTATCTTGCTCAATAGCAGCGGGACTAATTTAAAAACCTGACACTCATGAATGATTTTTCATGAGATCAGGGGTTTATAAAACGTATCCACTCATCTCTCAATAAAAGAGAGGGAACTTTACACGAGACACTTTGGCTGGCCTTTTGCAAAACAACTGTCAAAACCTGTGTTATGTGGGGCTTAAAGACAAATACACACTGACAGTAGGCCGCAAATAAGCATCTATAGACCACAGTCAACTACACTTATATCCAATTATTGATTATCACTTCAACCGTGTCAAAGATATTTTCCAACATGACTCAATCTGCTGCTCCAGGTGTCCTTGGCCCATGAATGCAATCAAATTCAAGCATTTAACAGTCAATTCACATTTCTCACATTGGTAAACTAACTGAAAACATATTTTCTCTGTACAATACATTGTGTCCCTGGTGCTTTCTGACAGCTAGTTTCATTACAATCTAGAAATATAAAGATTTCAAAGTTTTCGGCTCTACCCGCCCCCCCCCCAAACCGCGAAGAGAGTCATCACCAGACGGACAGGAGAAGGCAGGAGGAGGAGACGCTGCACCACACCTCAACGCTTTCTTGTCAAAATCGACTCTCCTCTCTCATGGTAGTTACTTTAGCAGCAGCAACACAAGTAGCTGTAATACTAGTGATTAAAGCAAACCCAAACAAAAGTCAAGAAATAGGTAATCATAAGAAATGTACAAAACAATTTACAAAAAAAAGCAAATAATTGGTAAGAACAATTCAAAAACCGCTTACAAGTGTACCCATGACCAACAACATGGTTGCCGGGACGACAACTACTGATGGGTTAAAGGCGTAAAACCAGTCTCTTCTACAAGCACGAGTCCAGCAGGACGTCCTGGGTGATAAAGGGTCCTGCGAGTAGTAGTTTAACACATTCTTATTGATAAGAGAATGGGTCATGTAGTCTTTGAGCGTCGGTTCAACACTGAACAATGTAGTCTTTCCACTGGGCGAACGTGGCCCTCCGCAAGCCTGAAACAAAAAGATAAAAAAAAATCTATATCCAAGAAAAGATGAACTATTTTGTATTTCTTTTTAAGGCAAGTTTATTTATACAGCACCTTTCGACACAAGGCAATTCAAAGTGCTTTACAAAAATGAAAAACATTAAGAAACATATTATAAAATGGCATTTAAAAAAACACTAATTTAAAAGCAAAGATAATAAAAACATTAAAGTTACAGTGCAGTGTGAGATACACACATCTGAAATGTTTAGGTCTGCATTGCTAACTTTTTTTAGCAGAAATAGTTTTCTCTGACCTCACTTTCCTTTAGTTATTTCAAGTGTTTCATGCTAAACGAACCCCCCTTACATTTAAATACAGATAAAGCACCATGTCTTGAGTGTAATGAGTGTTCGACTGCCCCTGGTTACCTCGTTCAGAAGAGGATGGGCTTCCCAGCCGTTTTCTCCTGGACGTAGGAGGTGAAGCGTTTGAGGAACTTGGGATACTCTCTCTTGGCCACGGCTCTGAGGACGGAGGCCGGCGCCCAGCCTCCTGGGTTTACTGCAGACACAAAGAGGAAATCATCAGGAAACTGAGTGTGCTTACTGACAATAACACCATTCATCTAACTTAAACCCACAGTGAGCGTAAACTGTACACAAACAGGTCTAGGCTGCCCTCTAGTGGCATTGTCTTATTAAACTCCCCTGACCTGTCCCGCTTCACAAACAATACACTGGCTCTGGATACTTTCTCCAGCGCAGCTTCATGTCACGATAAACCCGCCTACAGGAAGTAATGGGAAGTAAAAGTCTGCAATAATACTTGAGAGACGGAAACACGCACACTCTCGGTCCAGCTTACTGTACAAAGAGCAGACCGGCTCATGTGAGGTTGTTCTGAATCTTTTGAGGAAAGGCTGTCAAACACAAACTAATAGCAACTCAGTAAGATCATACTGCATCATCAATAATAATAATAATTAGGAATGAACATAAAACAAAAAAATAGTAAGAAGCAAGCTACAGGCACTTGTTTCCTTGACTGGCAGCTACTTCTCAGTAGTCAACAAAACAAACATCCCCCCAGATAACCTCTCACGTGCTCACTCGAGCTGTATTTATTTAGGCTGATGGGATATTTGAGCTCCTACTGGCCTGAGGCTATTATTCACTCAAATGGTTTGTACCGGCTGGCCAGTGAATTAGCATGAATAATGTCAGATAGTCTCTGACATTATTCATGCTTTCCTCCATCTCTCTTTTGTAGTTTAGATAACTTGTGGTGTTTTAGTTGCATCACATTTCAATCTTAAAGCCCAATTTATAAATAATAAATTTGCCTCAGGGTTTTTTTCCAATCTATACGACATAAAACATCTGTCCTTTGGCCTTTGCAGGGAAAAAGTAAAGACTCCCACAAATTAAATGCATCGAACAGGCAGACGTGCAATAGATGTTGTGTGTACAGTTTAAACTACAGTAACATCAATCTTCACCCAAGAAACGTCCTTTTGACCCAAATGTATTAGGGGTCAGGCCTCAGCTAAAACTCTTCCTTCTGGTACTCACACTAGTTTGTAGTTAATCTTGAGGCGCTTGTAGGTACATTATTAGATTGATGCTGATGGAGGTGCTTTGTTCTGTAGGCTGCAGATCTATAAACCCAGATCTATACCTTAATGGGCTGGAGAGACACTCACCATTGGCAACGTAGGTGATCTTACAAAGGATGTTGTCTCTGCTGATCTCTTTATCCCCCTCTGGTGGGCTGACCAGCGTTTGGCAGATCATAGCAACATTGATTTTGGCACGAACGCACCGGTTTGTGGGCTGGAAGTAAAACAAAAATGTAAAATGAAAACAAAATCCAAGCTGCCACAAGTCTCACTCTAGCTATCTGACAGAGGGCCTGGGGGTTAAAGGTTATTGTGATTATATGCTTAAATG